ATGACATATGCTGAACGTCCTGTAGTTCATAATAAAAATAAATAACAATTATCGAGGGCTTATTATGTTCCAGGCCGTGTTGATACTGTTCTCTTTGTTGATCCTCGTAAACATCGCCACTAGAAAGTAAGCGCCCTGAAGGCAAGGATTTTTTTATGTTGTTCGTGCTATCACCGGTACCTAGAACAGTTGTGGAAAAAGTAAAGTAATGACCTGTGACATAGCTACTGTTAGTAAATTGAGGAAATAGAGGCACAGAGAGGTAAAGTAACTTGCGTAAGATCACCTGGTGAGTAAGTGGAGGAGCTGGGATTCAAACCTAGGTAGTCTGATAACCTCTAACGAATAAGGTAGTTGTTAGAGAGCTGTGTTAGTCTAGTGTAGAGTTTCCCAGCCTCAGCACGATTGACGTTTTGGACTGGGTGCTTCTTTCTTCTGGAAAGCTTTCCTGAGCATTGTTAAGATGTCTAGCAGCATCCTAGCCTCTACCCACTACACACTAGCAGCAGCTTCCCTTCATGACATTCAAAAATATTACCAGACATTTCCGAATGTGCCCTGTGAGGTAAAGTGACCTCCAGTTGTGAACCACTGTTCTAAACCTACACGTTAAAATACCACAGACAGAAATCTGGAAGGAAGAGTAGGTGAACACCTGGCATTACATTTAGAAAAGCTTGGATGTGCCACAGTGAGTTGAGAGACAAGGCAGGAATTAGTTCGTTCTGTGACCATAGTGTGTTTTATATCGAGACCTGAATTTTATGCCTTATTTGTAAGGATTCCTCTAGAAACACAAATTTATAAAGACATATCTTTCCAGTTTTTTCTTTTCATTCATGAAGAGCATAAAATCTCTGGCAAGGCTTTTAAAAATGACACCTTGTCTATCAAAGCTTCAAGTGCATTTTTAGTAGCACTGAGGTCTGTTAGTTTGTAATTTAGTGGTGCAGTCAGTTTTGCTATAACACAACCCGAATGTTCCTAGGAATCACCTCGCTGTGCAGAATTGGGCAATGAAAAGCATGGGGCTTTTATCAAAGTGGGTTTAGGAGCATACCACTCACAAACTTCATTAGTGACATATAAAAATAAGGATAGGAGCCTAATAAAAGTGGTTACACAGTTTCACATATCTTACATAATTAGGAAATGCAAAAATACTGCACATACACTTTGCCTTGAAAAAGTCCTGCAGTTTGATTGTGGAAATGGACATTGGAAGGGTTGTGAGCTGTTGGCAGTGTTGGAAGTAGGGCTAGCTGAAGTTAGATAGAAAGTTGTATCACTACATGTGGATGGGTGTGTTTCATAAAACAGGCAAGGAAGTGAAGTGGCTGGTAGACGTTTGAGGTTGTGCCAGTGAGTGACTTGTATACTCCTGTGTGGCTGGAATTCTGTTGGGTGCAGTTTTCTGCATTCACCTGGAGTTTCCCACAGAAAAGATCATGCATAAACAAATACGGATCTCATGTGATGCTCAAATTGTCCCCCAATATATGAATTGCAGTGGAACACGCTTCTACACAAGCGTTATAGCAAAAGTGGTAGTACTCTTGATCTGAATTTTGGGGCCCTTCAAAAGAATTTTTTAAATTGTGGACTACAAAAATGATGGCAAGGGTAGATGAAAACATAAGCTTTGTAAATAACGCAGGGGACAAACTTTGGTAGAGTTGAGGAAAGCCAGGGAGTCATTGTCTTCCCTGCCCTGTCCTGCGGTCCTGAGCACTCACTCCTTTGTGCCGAGGTCAGTGGTCATGACTTGGTACTTACCAGTGCGCCAGCCCCTCCCAGAGGGCCTAGTTGCTATATGTATTAAAGAATTAATGTATTATGTGTTGAAAGAATTCTATACATTAACAGAGATGGCTTTGTGGAAATTTTTTTTAAGACTCATTTGGATTTCATTTACATTGCTTTTGTTGATTGGCGCTCAGTATTTATTTAACTCATATTTTCAATTTCTGTGAGTGATTTAGAAATGATGTTTATCCTTTACCATTACAGTACTTAAAAATGCAACATTAGTATAAAAACGAAGTGTAAATGCCAACGTAAGGAGGAAGGATTCTGAAATTTAAAAATATATTTAAAGCATATATATATTTAGAGCAGTGAAGACTGACAAGTCCTATCAAATAGTGGAAAATTAGCACGTTTAAACAGTTAAGGCTGGAATTGATATGTTAGTTAGTCATGCTTTTAATTTATTTTAATTCATTTTTGATGATTAGAAAACATTACTCTGCTTTTTCTGTTCGATAAGTAGGTTGTTTTATAGGAGATGACGGGGTTTTTTATTCTACTTGTCTATAAAATCTCAATCTTCTGAATTTGAATTTTTATAGAAACCTCTAGTAATCTTGAGTGACTGTAATTTACTGCAGAGCCTTCATGGTTGCTGGTCTGGAGCTTGAGTGATTACAATTTAAAACACATCATTACAGATTTTGCAATTTAACGTTTTAGAAAATGCACATATTTTTTTTTTTTTTAATTAGTAACAAAGAGCCAGATTTTAGGGGCATTGTCTAAGTCAGAACAAATGAATAAACATTTGAGAGGACTTCTTTGTTTATTTATGTTATAATTAGGCCTATGCAGTTATTTCTTTCTTTAAAAACATAACGAAAGACTTTTGTGCTGGAGAGTCCTTATAGATTTTATATGAATTTTTATGTCAATTTAATATCATAACATTAAATAAAACACATTGGATACTTTGAAGAAGTAAAAGTACATAAATATATTCATATTTCATTTTGGGTTCAGTTTACTGGTTTCTTAACTAAGATGGAATACTAAGATTTTTATTAGTTTTACTTTAAGACGTTGTGATCTTAAAAATACTTGGACGACAATAATGTCAGTTCAATTGAAATAGCATCCACTTTTGGAGAAAAGAACGTTTGGCCTCCACTTGAATCATTCATTATTTAAATATCTCCATTGCCCTGCGTCCTTGTGTGATGGGCACTCAGATCTATTTAGTGTTCGGGAGGTCCAGGTAGTCAGCCCAGTAACCATTACAGAGCCATGTTGTATAATTTAGAGCTTCTGGAATATTAGAACTAGAGTCTACTGTAGTCCTCCCAAGCAAAATGACATAGCACAGGGAAATAATGCAGTATATAGGGGCTTGCTTGTTTTCTCTTTTGCAATATTGATTTTTATAAAAAGAATTTGTGTATTTCTGTTCTATCTACCACTCAACCAGCTCTAGCTCTCTAATGCTCCTTCCCAAAGAAAAAGATGCTGTCCTCCATTTTTCGTTATTAAGGTGTCTGGTCCCTATCACAGGTTACTTTACTCCCATTCTCCCCACAGTGTTTTAATATGTTAAAACATCAGAATTTACATGCTTTGACACATTTGTAGTATTCATCACCTTTGCGTACTTCAAGCTTTTCCACTTATCTCCAGAGGCTATACTTTCTTAGTTAAGCCAGTATCAATTTATTGTTTATTACATAAACTCATAGCCCTTGAGGCCTTCGGTTTCTACTATCGTACTTTTTAAAATCAGCAGGTAAAAAAACTCACTTGCATACTATTTATGTAGTGAAAATACCACACCAAATAAATATCTAAACCCACCAAATCTGGTAACACCTATTCAATGTGTTTGTGTAAAGACAAAACCACCGCAAAAATCTGATAATTTGGTCGTCTTGTGTGCTTAGTAGACCGGTTCGCTAAAGGAATAATAGAAACACATCATGTTCCCTCTGTTATATTCTACTGTCACAATAGTCGTTATGTAGTTTTGTAAAAACTGTATCTGTACCTTTTCTTTTATATGGTTTTAGTTTTATTGAATAGATAAAGTTTTGAGTACTTAGTTACCAATAAAAATATTAAGGAGTTCGGATTTGGAAGGAGACCTTGAGTATCTAAAGTTTCCTAGAAAGTGTGTGACCTGTAGGTATAGACTTCCCACATTGCAGAGCACGTGTAATACTGTTTTAAGATTAACAGGGCAATATTAAATACAAAAGCTTGAAAATTTCCATAATGAAAGTGCATTTTCTAAGGTAAGGTACACCAATGATAGATCCTCATTATGGGTTGCTTTATGGTATGTAACCCAATAGGAAAAAAATAATTAATTTACAACTGATAATGTTTATTATTTAAAATATCAATGTATATTACATGTTATTTTGGGAATCTAATATTTTTGGCTTAGACAAATAAATAGTTTGGGATTCTTTTCTCTTCTCATTTCAAGAAGATAGTTGGAGACCTAATCTTATCACTCGACCTAGAAAGAATAGTATTTCTTAAGCAAAGGTCTTATTCTCAAAAAAAGAGTCATCCTTTAATTCAAAGCAGTTTTTTCTCCAGCAAACATAACTATATTTTTCTTTGTTTCTGTTGTTTTGTACATTTCACTTGATTTTTGTTTTCTCCTTCAGATTCTGTTTTTCTATAACATACTTTCTTGATCAGTCCTATTACTTTATTTGTATAAAGATTCTTTTGTAAAATAAAAACACCATAAATTATTGCTCTTCAGTGGTGCTGGCTATTTTTTAATGTGCTGGTGCCCATGTAGTAGTACTGTTAGATTTTTTTTCCGTATATGAATTTGGCATTGGGTCTCTCATGTGCCTAAATTGGGATACAAAATAATGGAGGTAGGTAGATACTCATACTTATTTTTTGTGACCCACTTATTGAATATAAAATACAATGGTTGTGGAGCCAAATTGATTTGTTTATGAAATAGTGAGAAGGAAGAATTGAGGTCAGACTTAGGGGGTGAATTTAGCTGTGTTATAAAACCATAGGTAGCATTTACACATGCATGTACACACAGTAGAGAGTATCGAAGATGCGTTTAGAAATTTCAACACCTGGGGGTTTGCATTTCATCTCCTTTATTTACTAACTTTAATGTTACAATGAAGAAATGGCTATTTCACTACCAGATTATTAGACAAACATTTGTGATGATAGAAGTACATATATTTTCTCTTTCTCTTTTCTTTCAGCCATAATGAAAGGAAAGTGACCTGTAAACATCCTGTCACAGGACAGCCATCACAGGACAATTGTATTTTTGTAGTGAATGAACAGTAAGTAAAGAGTTTCGTGGAATGCCTCCCTTCAGATGGGCTTAGCATTGAGATTGCTGTTGTCCATGTTTGTTACGGTACAATTTAACAATTTTCTTAGCTGAACATTGCAGTCCAGTATAATAATGGAATGCCATCTGTTTATACTATGTGTGGTATGGAAACATGACTTATTTTTTTCATGAGGAATATAATTTCAGAAGCTGTTTTTTACAATAGTTCAAAGAGAAATAGTAAGTTCAAGATCCCAGGGTGTAGGGTCAGAGAAACTATAAACTTGGTGGAATTGTTAAACTAATTTGAGCTCAGTTTTCTCATCCTTAAATCAGAGATTATGGTAATTACTGTTTCTCATGATTTTTATAAGCTTCGAATGAAATATGTGTGAAAATATTTTTTATACTATAAATCTGTTCACAAAAAGTTGTTACTGATATCATTGTTGTTTTCAATGTTAGAATAGCTACTCTTGTAATTAAAATTTTAATTTTCCAGTTAGATGACCAAGTGGAATATCTATAGTAATGCTTATTAAAGTAGACATCGTATCAACGTACGTTGTGCCTAAGAGAAGTCTTAGTTATTTTGAAAGTAATTGTAAATATTAAGCTCTCAGTCCAGAGCTTATTAAGCTCTAACTGGTATCCATCTGTTTTGAAAAAGTAGGGCACCAGCATCGTTAACTCTAGAGAAGCTTTATTGTAAAGCAGTTCATATACACAGCAAGTTCTAGCGTTCTGACATAGTATATTTTCAGGACCGTTGCAACCATGACGTCTGAAGAAAAGAAGGAACGACCTATAAGTATGATAAATGAAGCCTCTAACTACAACATTTCTTCAGATTATTCAGTGCATCCAATGAGCCCTGTAGGCAGAGTAAGTTACTTTGCTGACTGTTAATTATTGATAACTGGTATAATTAGTAGTCTATATATATTAATGTCTATTACTGTTACTTAGTGGACTTTAGAATTATAGAATAATCATTTCATTTTTATTATTACATGAACCTGATTACATTCAAGGTAATTGACATAAGAAGCAATGACTTGGAATATAAAGTAGTAAGATATTTTAATAATTTAATGGCTTACATTTTTTAAAATATTGTAGAGTTCAGATTTGGAATAATTTTACCAATATAGTGGATGTTTGTGTGAGAGAATGGCAGTTTATTGAATCAAGTTAAGTTTAAAAAGTGGATATTAATATAATGGCCTATAAATCCCATTTTCTGACTATTAAGTATGCCTGGATAGAGCAGACTTACGCTATTTAAAAATAAATGTAAAATCCCTTATTGCTAAAGGGAATCCCCATGCCAGTAATAGCGACTCTGAGGTCGTGTTGAGAGTCCATTATATGAAAAGTGCCATAGCCATATGGAAGAAGAAGTGAGTGGTTTTTCTTTATAATCAGAAATGAAAATGTTAATTGTTTAATTTATGATCTTAGGTTTGTGTGTCTCTAAAACTTATAGTTAATGCTTCTTGCACTTTAAATCATAACACTGTAATTGTCTCAAAGTTACTACTCAGTTCTTAAATTAATGGATAGTGAGAGAATCAAAGGATAATAAGAGAGTAATCTTTTATTTATTTAAAAAATAATTATATATTTTATAGTAGTAAAATAATTGTAATGGTAAATTATGGTTACTGTAAAGAAAGGGCTAATAGACAATTATCTATTTTAAGTACCTATTGTTAAGGTTTTTAAGTGAAATTTTGTAGAATATTACAACTAAATGTAAATTTTCAAATAATGTGAATAATTTCTAATTCTTGTATAACATAAAATGCTAATGGGATAACTGAGTATTATAATGCTTCATGAATATATTTTAATGAAAATCTAGAAATATGATAGCTGGTTTGAGGTCCCCCTATTCTTTGTCTGGAAAGAAATTTGGATCTGTGCCTCACACTTTTCACCAAAAATTTTCCAGATGAATCAGGTGTTGAAGTGTTAAAAACAAAACTATGAAAGCACTACACAGAACAATGGAAGATTTACAAAGACAAACAAACTCAGAATGTAGATGGGCTTTTTAAATATGACATAAAACTCAAAAGTCAAAATGGAAAATAATGAGAAATTCAACCACAGGAAATTACCATGCTTGCATAATATGTGCAATTCATATAACAATGAAAGAATAATTCCTTTTTAATTAAAGAAGTGCTATGGATCAATAAGAGAAAGGCTTACAGTCCAGTTTTTAAATGGGCGAATTTTGTAAAATCACTTCCCAGAAAAGAAAATGGAATTTTACTCTTAAGTAAATGAAAAAGTTGCCCAGACACATTCATATTATGAAAAATGCTAATTAAAACCAGAAAAGGACGCCATTTTTACTTATCTGATTTGCAAAGGTTAAAAAGTTGTATAGCACAGTATGTTGCCAAGAGCTGGGTAAATAGGCATTCTCTTTAGGTGGTGAACTCCAAGAAGTAGTGGGACAGAAGAGTGGGTATTATCTAGGCAGTCATTTGAGGAAAAAAAGATCTTCCATAACTATGAAAACAATTATTTTAGATGGATAGACACACACATGCACACAATGATATTGGTTGCTTGCTAGGGTTGTGGGTGGGTGTTGTTTGGGTGCTGGAGCCCAGAGGTGAAAAAGTAGACGGGTCCTTGTATTTTTTTTGTAGCATTTGAGTTTTATAGCACGTTTAACCATTATCTGTTCAAAAGTAAATTAAAATTTATTTTTAAAAAAACGTGCTTTAACAAAATACAGTTGATATTGGGCCTTAGAAATTCTATATGTACAAATATAAGGTTCACAAAACAAAATTCTTGTAAAAAATGCTAGATTTCAAAAGATTCTAGATAAGTTGAAAAATAAGAGAGAATTTGATGTTACTTACCTTCATAGAGAAATTCAAATTCAGCTTGTTTTTATGTTTGTTGATTACTACTACTATTCTTGCCAAAATAAGTTCTCATGCTAAACATAGCAGTATTTTTGAAGATTGTGTATCCTTATGTGTACTTGCAAGAATATAGTAAACACCATCTGTTTGGTGTCATTCAAGTTCAGAGTTGTCCATAAAGCAGCAAACATGTGACATTAAGCAGATCCTTCCCCTCTTGTTTTGACTTATGTGATATGTTTGTTTCTATTTTATGTCTGAGTATTTTTCTCGTGACTTGATGCTGTTAATTTTCTTTAATTGAAACCACACTATTAAATGCAGATAGAAAGCAGAAGTTCTGTCATTTGGTTTATTCTTAAAGATGTTTTAGTCATTTTACTCAGCAGTCATTCTGTTTATATAGCAGGTAGAACAAAATAACAGCCACGCACTCGCTGTGCCTTTTTAAAAATTGTATATGCAGATTTTAAAGGAGAGATGGTGAAACTTGTGATCCTTTTGTAATATCCTGGGGAGAAAAGTCTTTGTCCAGAATTCTTAGACTTGAAACAACTATGCCAGCAAAAGCAGGATCGCAGTGATTCATCTGAAAAGATTAAGCCCTGCAAGTTTCAGAGAAACCTGAAGAGATTAAAATTATGAAGATGAAAAATGAACTCAAATATCCACGCATTAATGCCAATTTTATGTTGTGCTTCTTTCCGTTTAGACTTCACGGGCTTCCAAAAAAGTTCACAATTTTGGAAAGAGATCAAATTCAATTAAAAGGAATCCTAACGCACCTGTGGTCAGACGAGGTTGGCTTTATAAACAGGTATTTTTTTCTTTTGCCTATTTGATGTGGAAAAAGCACAGAATCAAAAGGGACATTTTCGACTGAATATCCCTTAGACAATTATATAAAATGGAGAAGGAACTGGAGAGTAGTCATCCAGATTCTTTCATTTCCTGTTACCACTGAAGAAAGTTAAAGGAACAGTGAAGAAAGAAAGGGAATGGATGTTACTTAGAACAGAGCTTATGTGCGTGTTTGTCTAAGTGTTTCTAGATTTGAAATTAAATATATGCTGTATGAAAATGTTAGAAGTAACATGCTAGAATTATCCAGGCAGAATATATTTTTTAAATGGAACAAAAATACAGAGATGTTCTTCATTTTTCTATTTATATAAAAACCACTAGAGAAATGTAACAATTATACATTTCTCTGCTTTGGTTTATAGAGAAATCTGATCATAATTTGAGATTTTTCTGATTTTTGCTTCTCTACTCTCAAGACAGCTCTCTTAAGTGCTTGTACTATTTTTTCTTTTTCTGTTCTTGTCTGTCTGTTTGCTCAAGCATAGTTCACTCTTAAACACCCTGATAAGTTGGGGTTATGTTCTATTGTCTAGAAACCTGATAATGTAGTGTTTCTGGAGACTTGTCATTAATTTTGAAATTAGTAAGGGTGTGTGTACATTGGACTTTATGACAGCTATTTTGACTACTTTGAGGCTGTTGTTTTCTTTTTTACTCTCTGGTTTGCAGCTGAGTTTCAGATAGGTGACCACCAGGTAGCCGAGATGATACACTCGGCATTCAAGACCTTTATCCGTCTTTGTTCTGTCTTTCTCATTCTACATGTATATACAGATGATACAGAGCAAGTTAAATAAGAGTTCATTGATGGTGTTAATTTTTTCTGTCAAATATTGCTAATTGCTTTCAGATGACCTAATAATTATATTCATTAAAATTCATAATGAATTTGTTATGAAACATTCGTTAGTCGTTGTTCCATCTGAAAATTGGATGGCAGCTAATGTATTGGAAAGGAGGACCATCTTAAAATCCGGAGACTTCCCACTCATTCGAGCAAATTAGTTTTGCCAGTTTCTCACTGAGTTGATTGAGTATGTAACTTGGATACCAACTGTTACTTTTTATTTAAAGATCATTTACTATATTTCAACTATGTGATGTTTAAACTTATCCAAGCTAAAAGATTTTTTTAACTGGTCTTTCTAATAAATCCAAATAGTTCAGTGCGATATTGAGCTTAATAGAGGAGATGGGACTCATTTAAAATGATTCTTGTTCTTGTTCCTTGATCCCTTGATTAATTTAGTATTGCGAAAGTGTTACCAGTTTCTCTACCATGGGTGTTTATTTTGTCATAAGTGTATGACTTACAGACATTATTTTAAAAATCTAAACTTTTAAAAATTATCTGTACTAAAGGAAGAATTAGGAAATTAAACATACCATATACCATTTAATTTTTTTTCATCCTTCGTGTAGCTGACGATTTTAAAGACAAATCTTTTACTTTGAGAGATTTTTACTCGTATAATTTCTTCAGTTCTAAAGTAATTATTAGATGATGGCCATAACTAGAAATAAGAAATATTAATCAGTGCACATCCAAACTGGCCTCTTTTTTGCTTTATTTTTGTTGTTGTTGTCTCTGTTTCATTTTCTCTTCCAGTTTTGCTTTATTGCATGTAGGAAGGTAATTTTTATTAAAATTATAGTTTTATTTGAGCTTAGTGTTTTCATGAGCTAAATTACTTAGAAAGAGCTGCCAAATAGGCACTATTTTCTGCAGGATGAGCAAAACCTAAACTGTATATGTAACAAGAAGAGAGTGTTTATGAAATGTATTTGTATGCTAAGTTTCCTTTAGCAAAAATCATTTTAAATCACATTACTTTTGGAATAATTTCAGTTCACGTTTATTTTCTTGTTGAAGATTAACATATTTATTAACTCTGGTTTACCAGAATGTCTACCCTGCTATATTTACATTATCCTCATGCCAGCAGATATGGGTTCAGAAGAGTAAATTTCAAATTGCTTACAAATGTGAAACCAAATCAGATTGCTTCAACAGTATTCCTTTCACATGCCACTAGTCTTCAGAGACCAGTATACTTGGGAATATCTTAACATAAGTCTCTAGAAAACGAACTCAAAATTTCAATTGGCTTTTTTAGTTAGGTTTCCATGTAGCATATATCAAACACACCTTGTTTTGAAAGCTTATTTTAAATACTTGCGCGAGAAATGAGTTTTAATTTTCTGAAATGAAAAGAAAAATCCTTTACTGTGCTGATTTAATGCAGGACAGTACTGGCATGAAGCTGTGGAAGAAACGCTGGTTCGTGCTTTCTGACCTTTGCCTCTTTTATTACAGAGGTGAGTTTACCGTAAACTGTCTTATTGTATGATTTTATAATGATCTATGTAACATATAGAATACATATTAAATGTCATTTACTTTTCTAAAGAAAAAACATTATAGTTTTTTTTTTGCTATTTTATCAACAAATAGTATCAAGAAAATCTTTTCTTCAGTGACACAATACTGCGTGATTGAGGTATGACAGAAGACAAGATGGCGCTTCAAGCTGATTAGTCTGAGTTCTGGTCCAATTTCTGTAATCTGATTGTGTTAATCTGATTTGTTTTGAGTGAAGAGCATGTGACTCTTCACTCTACAATGTTGTCCTTGAATTCAGTGCCTGCTGGATAAAAATCATTAGTTTGATGAGATTCTTCTTAGGTGTCAGCTTTGTCAGATCTAACTATGGGTCCACTGAATGCCCAATTCTCCTCAGCAAATGATTTCAGAATATCAGAGACGACTATGATGTATTGGCAAGTAAAAAAGAATTTCAAAGAAATGTATTTGTTATGATCCCCTCCTACCCCTCATTTTTTTAATAAATAACAGTGACCTCCGTGAAACATGGAGAAAGTTGTGGAAAGGATACATACCAGGCTGTTAATATTGGTGGAAAGGAAATATAAGTATTGTCTTAGGTATGGAGTAGCAGTCTTCATTTCTCCTATATGGCTATCATAAACTCCCTTTTTAAAAATTTTTTTACATTTTCTGGCTAGGAAGTTATTGATAATACAATGTTAAGTCAAAGTCCAGGTAAGTCTCTGTTCTTATGCAAGGATCTGTTAAATACTATAAAGTTGGTACCTAACGATGAAAGGTGTACATAGGCTGTGCTCTCCATAGAAATCTACTTCACCTGTCATATAAAATAGTGAATCTGGGGGCCGGCCCCATGGCCAAGTGGTTGAGTCTGTGCACTCTGCTTCAGTGGCCCGGGGTTTTGTCAGTTCGGATCCTGAGCACAGACGTGGCACCGCTCACCAGGCCATGCTGAGACGGCGTCCCACACAGCACAACCAGAGGCACTCACAGTTAGAGTATACAACCATGTACTGGGGGGCTTTGGGGAGAAGAAAAAAAAAAGTTTAAAATAGTGAATCTAGACAGTTACTCCTCTTCCCTACTTTAAAGTCTGGTTGGAAACAGTCACTAAAGAATTAGATAGATTGTCAACACATAATTGATAATTTGTAACAGGATTTTAGAACTGGTTAGCAGTTTTAAAATTTACTTTGTGATTACACAAAAAAGTGTGGCAGAATTTTGTGGTCATCTATCAAAGCAAGATAATGCATATTAATCTTCAAAATTTGAAATTACTAGAATTGGATTCATCTTTTTTCCCCCCCACTGCAAACTGTGGTTGAGAAGTACTGCTGAGTCAGAATTAACCAAACCTATAAAATTTCATTTTGTCATAGAGTTGTTGGTCAGGCTGTAATTGTGGTATTATCTTTAGTTAAGTGCCAAGCTTACTCTACAATTTTCCTTAAAGGTTTTCCCACTCTTTCAGAAAGTCGCGAGTTATAACTCAGGCATTATTCCTAAGCTTATAATTTGCACTTTCCTCTCTTTCACAGTCTATTTATGGACTATTTAGAGCTTTAAATGAAATAAGAAAATATTTGTTACTATTTCTCATACAAAAATTTCTTAATTTTAATTTTTAGCAAAAAGAGCATTGAATTCCTTATAATTTGCTATTATTATTGCTTATGGAAAGGTGCTGCTCATCATTTTTATTAAAATAGAAGAATTTTTAACGTAATTTGAAAAGGGTAAAGGTGAGTTCAGAAGCCATGTTGAGTATGAGATTCCGTATTATTAACCATACTCATTTTACATTCGATATATTTATTAATTTTAGTATGGTTCTCCAAACAGGAGGAATATAAAAAAAAGAAGAAAGTACAGAAAGGAAAGAAATGTCATTTAGCTCACTTCTGCCCTTCGGATGGCTGGAAAAAAGTATATGATGTATACTTTACTATTTTATCAACAGAAAATGTCTTATTTTAAATTAAAACTATCAGATTTTAGTGAGATGATCATAATAGCGTGCTCTTTTTTTTTGAGCATTTTCTATATGCCAAGCATGTAACATAGATGGTCTATTTTATCTCTTCTTTATGGCCACCTGTTAAGGGGGGGAAATCTTATTATGCCCATTCACACAAGAGGAAACTAAGGGACAGTGAGGTCAAATTGCTTGCCTGAGATCTCACAACTAGCAAGTGTCGGGACTAGGATTTGCACCCAGGCACTTCTCTTAACCACAAGTTTTTGCCCCCACCCAGATCTCCTCTTCGACGCTGAGCACAACAGTCCCATTCGTTTCCTCTGTATCTCTCAAAGCATCTAGTAGACCGACATACAGAGTCTGCTGTCAGAATTTTAGACAAATCAGTCTGTGTTTTACAGATATGGAGAATAAGACAGAGAGAAAGTGATTTGCTGTTTTTTACAGTAGGTTAGAAGCCGATACCAGATGCGAGCCCCCATTCCCACTGTTCTTTGCAATAAAGCAGGCGTATTCGTGACCCAGCTGTGATAGAGCGCTTAGATTGCTCTGTTCTATAGTCAGTCTGTTGACAAAAATTACCCTGGGACTTAATCCATTCAACAGTTGAGCAGGACCTGCTTCATTCCAGGTGTGTCAAAACAGCCGTGAGAGGAAGCTCTCATGAAGCTTACATTCTAGAGAGGTCAGGGAGACAGCAAATAAACAAGACCATGATACATGCTTTTAGGAAACTAAGGTCATAATATGAAAGATGGACATAATGTGAAAGATGGGGAAAAGTCTCTTTGGATCTGCACTCTCAACAAGATCTAAATGACAAGGAGGAGCTAGAGTGAGCAGAGTGGTCCAGGCAGAGGGAGCAATAGTACAAAGTGAGGAAGTATCTGGAATGTTGAAGGAGCAGGAAGAAACCAGTGTACCAAGCTGGAGGCTGGAAGGACAGGGGAGAAATGGCCATCACACGCATGTAAAAATCTGTTGGAGTCTGGATTCTACTATAAATGCCATAAGGAAACAATTGGATGTTTTTAAGCATAAGAGTGTTATGCTTTGAATTATGTTTTGAAAAGCTCACTCAAGCTGCTATTGGAGAATGGATTATAAAGGGAAAGGAAGGAAGCAGAGACTAGTTAGGAGTTATTGTATAGAAACGATGATGGCTTAGAGTGATATGGTAGGGAGCAGTGAGCTGTTTTGATGCACCACCTTGTTAGGAAGTAGGATGCACAAATGAACGATATAAACCCCTCTCCTTACAGAACTCACACATTCGCTGAAGAAGGGGAAGTTTGGCTGTCATGCAGTCTAGAAAAGGCCCAGCTGACCTTTCATGTCTTTCTACAAACATTACTCAGTACCTGCCTTTTGCTTGGCAGTGTATGAAGCCCTCTGGCTGATAGAAAGTAAGACAGTTTACTTAGGTCGGGCTTGAGAGAGACATAAACAGAAGAATGCCGTGATTAGGAAGATTTGAGGAATCTAGTGAAGAACTCTTTGAATGGTCATCTGACAGAAGATGAAGATTTTATATGCAGTCCTTTTAATCTTATATAATAATGGCAGTGTTTATTGAGCACTTACTGTGGGCTGTGTGCATTATTGAGTTCTTTTTATCTATTAACATATGTAAACCTCACAACAATCTTTTGGGGTAAGTCCTATTTTCCTCAGTTTTATCGTTGATGAAACTGAGATACCCAGCATCAATAATAACTTGCCCAAGATCTCATAGCTACTTAGTGTCCGGCTGGGAAACAATCCATGATAATCCAGTGAAGTCACCCTATGCCATTCTGCCTCTGCATATTCTGAAACAACTTGCCACTTTTTCCAATTATGTGACATAAGAGAATGTATTATTTGATAAAAATGATTTTTAATAAAGACTTCATGAGCTGTTCTGAGTGTATGCTTTATATAAAGAAAAAGTTGGATTTAAAATTAAAATGTGATTCGTTCTTTTAAATTGTCATATTCGCTAATTAGAGGCTGCTTTCTACCTTGGTTTTTTACCTTTTTGACTAAATCTGCACTTCTATTCATTCTTTCTTGTATTAGTGAACTATGCCTGAGTGAGCACAGAATAGTAAAAGTAAAATTTTTTTTCCATTGTTATGAGAAAGCTGTATAAATAACCTCTACTTAATGCAACACTTTTTCTTTTGAAAGTTTCACTGTATATTCTAGAAATCAGGGGAAAATAAATAAAATCTCTCATGGCAAGCATAATAAAAAGAATTATTTCTCATTTATGGTTTTTCTCATTGGTGAGTTCATCAGCACAGCTTAATTAATTTGTCTTATGGGTCTCTAGCAATGAACTCTATATTTTAAGTTTCATAAACATCTCTGCCCCCAAGCAGCAAGTTAATAATGTGAATCTATACTATGCCATGATTAATATTTTGTCACTTTCCTAGGTATATTTTATGTGCTTGCCTTATAGGCGTGTAATTTATTCCCATAACTTTATTGTGTATCAGAGTGACTGGTAAAGGCAAACCTTTAAAGTTATGTTTTAAAAGGCATATAATTTTTATAGCATAGTTTGAAATACATATTTATTCAGTTTTTTTGAGCATATTCTACTATTGTTCTAAATGTCTTCATGGAGTTTACATTCTAGTGGGGAGAGAAAGATGATCAGTAAATAAGTAAGACAAATAGTGTGTCAGAGGTATTGAGTATAGGTGGTGGTAAAGTTCCAGAGAGAGAGGAGAGCTGGACTCTGGGATGGGTTAGGAAGGGAAGCACTTTAAAATACAGTAGTCAAGGAAGACCTCATGAGCTCATGATGAGCTGTGTGAGCCAAAACTGAAGGATGTGAGCAAGTGAGCCATGCATTTGTCTGGGCATAAAATGCTTGGGCGTTTAAATCCTACCAGAAGTGTGGGTGGGTTAATCTTATAAAGCTTCTCTGTCGTTACTTATATATTAATACATGTTCAGTGAATTACATATCAAAGGGCTTTGTAGAATGCAATATATATGTCAAACAAATGTATGCTGTTTTTATCTCTAACTAACATTTTTCTGACATGTGGGACCGATTTTTGATTCGCTTGGGATAAAGAAGCTTATTAAAAGTAAAGAGGTGTATATACTTCTGCTATTTAATATTTTCCCTTATACCTAAATAGTAGATGCATACAGTTCATTTGTATATAAGAACCTTTTGATTTGGTAAAAATAAATTTTGAGAAAATGTATTCTGCTTCAGGAGAACATTTAAAATTCTAATCAGATGTTCAATTATCTCTTAAGATGAGAAAGAAGAGGGTATCCTGGGAAGCATACTGTTACCTAGTTTTCAGATAGCTATGCTTACCTCTGAGGATCACATTAATCGCAAATATGCTTTTAAGGTAAGGAAATAGTCATACTGTTTTATTCTGTATTTGCATCTTGCATTGATTAAAAGATGGATATTGACCCATAGATTATTATAAGAAGATATTTCCGTTACAGTCATTTTTATATTTAAAATATATTAATTAAGTCTTATGGTTAAGTAAGAGACTATCTCTTTAGTTAGGAAGCATGTGCTTGAATATTTAGGGGCCAAGTGTCTTTATGTTTATTCATTCAAATGGTCCTACAGAAAGCAAATACGTGAAGATGCTAATAGTTGGTAAATACAGCTGTGTCCTGGTGATCATTATACTCTTCTTTAAGGTTCCTGTGTGTTTCAATTTTCTCATAATAAATTTAGGGGGGAGAGTACTATAAGATACAACAACTATGTTTTTTAACATAATATTGGTACATTTATGATCTTATAGAATATTTGCAAAGATCTTCTTGGGTCTAAGTATGTCGTGAAAATCAGGTACTTTTGAGAGAATATTGAAGTTGAGGCATTAAATCTGTTAATAAATCCTGGCAGACCTGGGCCCCCTTCCCCTTACTAACAATACCCCCACCTCTGTGATACGCTGGTTTGTGGAGCGCCCTCAAGTAAGAGACCACTTTAATGCTAAATTGGTTATTTTTTGTTTTCAAAAACCATGCTGCATTCTTTGCTTTATGATTATAGCTGAAATAAATTTCAGGGGTCACCTAATTTTTAAATCAGTTTTAAGTTAAGAACTCTAAAGGGTTTAATGTAAACTTTTCATCTTAAAAGAGAGGAAGGAAGTACGGGTGACATATGCTGTTATTTGACAGTGAAAATGTTTATACCATCATAAAATTGATTCTGCTTTTTGTTCCCATCCAACTTTTTAAAGAATACTCAGGATTACAGCTGATTTACAACTTTTGCTAATTAATGTATTACATTATCAGCTATGGAGAAAAAAGAGCAGGGAGCTGATAGTGGGAGGGGGTGGTGGATGGCCTCAATGAGAAAGTACTGTCTGAGCAAAGACCTGTGGATGAGAGGGGACTAGCTTCATATTTCAATAAATTTTATTAGCAGTGTGAACCAGAGAAACAGAATTAAATATTTAAGATGCTATAATAAAGTTTAATACTGATGACCTAAAATAATAACTTGATAAAGTACACGTGTAGAACTGTGTGATGCTAGCACTGCTGTTGGCCGTGGAGTTAAATGTTTTTGCTTGCTCATCAGTTTGGCAAATGTTTATTGGCTTCGTACTATTCATAGGATATTTTGCAGGGTTCTTAGACTCTTAAAAAAAAACCACTAGAATATTAAAATAGCAAAAAAAAAAAAAAAAAAGTGACCATGCATGTTAAATCTATTTTCTCTGTAATTATTTGGCTAAATTTTATCTGTAACAAGAATAGTAATTTGTTTCAAATTCTCTGTTTCCTCTGAATTGCTGAGCTGCTTTTCCTGCTAAGTCTGTTGACATTGATACTACTTCTTTATCACAGTGGTAAGTAGGAACTTCTGGACGATTGTGGAACTTAAAACTAGATAGAGAAGTTTGCCATCACCTGGTAAATATTTCCATGTGACAGATGGCACGCGTGGGGTGGTTCATTAGTGTCTGAGTCCTGGCTACTACTGAATCTTCTTAGCACCAGCCCCCGCCGTTCCTTCTGTTGATCACAGATATGGACAGTGGTCTTTATTCATTTCTCCAGAATCCCATCCAACAGTCCAGTGATATTTTGTGGTGGTTTTCATCATTTTAACAGCGTGTAGCATTTAAGCTGTTTCCTTTGCGCTGTTTCTGTAGATAGGTTTCTCTCTCTTACATGGTCAAGTGAGATTTGTTGTATGTAGTTATTTTGATCACTGTGGTTATTGAATTTGTTTATACCCTAATTCTTTCTGAAAAAGATTTTGATGAAGCTGATTTGACACTCTAGGTAAAGCAGATAGTCAAGATCTTGGAGTAAAGTGCGTATCTCCAGATTTATTCCTCTCATCTTTTTATATTTACCAGGCTAACAACACACTTAGTACTCTTTACCTCATTCTGTGCTGAAATAGCCTTTTTTAATCTTCCCTAGTCTTTCAGTGTCTAATAGGAAACTGTCAGAGGCATTTTTAAATGGAAGTTAAGAATGTGTCCCCCACAGAAGTCCCCATCTCGGCTTTTTTTTTTCCTCCTTTCAAACAGCTACTGCTGCTGTCGCCGTGTGCGCCGTCAGCCCCCGAGTTAAGCTGCGCACTCGGGTAGCAATCCCTCATCAGCACCTTCTTTTTTGTTTTCTTCTGTTTCTCTGGAATAGCGGCAGATTGAACCACCATAAAGGCCTTCTTTCACGGACCCGAAATATTTACATTTTATCTCTAAAACTCGAGAAGAGAAGCTAAAGGGAAATGCCATTTTGGATCACTTATAAATCTTTTATGTTTGTGTGTAGGTATCTAGAAGGATTAGACAAAATGCTTTAACAGCAGCACCTTTTGAGGACTGAAGGAATTGCTAACACATGGGGGAAATGCTCCATTGAATTTTGCTGCTGGTTGCTCTGGAACATTCTTGAGTAAAAAGATGTGAATTGCAGTAAATGGAAATTACTAGGGCTGTGTACATGGAACAGGCACAACTAGGTGCTTCATTTCTTATCTCCTTACCTTCCCCTACACTTTTTGTTCTTTAATTTTAAAATAAAAATGGTAAAGTTAGAAAAAACTTAATAATTATATCCTTTTCAAGACATAAATATTTCAACTAAAAGCAAAAGGGTAAAGTTAGGAGAAAAATTAATATTTAATATTAAATATTTAATAATTAATATTTTCCAAGATTGAATTATATTTTTCTTAAGTCATTCATTTCTATATCTGTATATGACAAGTCTGCTTTCTCTGAGATTTGATAGTAATGGTGTATATGGGGAACCACTTAGCTTGCTTTCTTTTTCTTTTACAGATCCCATATTTCTATTTAAAACGATCGTGTCATTTTCAATCAGGCAGCCCATCCAAACATGCGGACCTATTATTTCTGCACTGATACAGGAAAGGAAATGGAGTTGTGGATGAAAGCCATGTTAGATGCTGCCCTGGTCCAGACAGAACCTGTGAAAAGGTAAAGGCTTGTAGGGAAAATAATGGTGATTTCCACTTACATTTTAGTCCATGCTTTGCAAGTATGTCACTGTCATAGTACATGTCATTTTAATAGTCATGATATGAAATCATTTCTTCCTCAGAAAGCAAGGATTAGTTCATGTTGTGTATTAAACTAATACACCTTTAGTTAGTTTCAGATACCACCTGCATTTTTATTCCACCTTTCCTCTTTATTCATTTTCACCTATCAGTGTACTGAGGTGAATCCAGAATCCTAACATTCAAACTGAATGTTCTTTCTTCTTACAGAATTACCTTTAATTTCCGGTAAGTACATTTTTAATTGTTATCTTACAACTACACATGACACTGTTTTTTAAGGTCCTAAATCTTAGAAGAGAATTTATACTCACGAAGTTAATTTCACTGTGTTTTTATATTATGTTGTATGTTTGAAGTTTAATAAATTAAAATAAAAACTTTTGATGAGTTTTACTTCTTCAGCATTTCCTGGTTAATTCTGATTTTTTTTTTTTATGATGAATGGCTCCAGAATATAGTTCATCAAGTGTTTAGATTATTTCTAAATATATCTACTTCTTGATGAATTCTACCTACCTTTTTTTGAGACTTCAGTACTCAGATTCCTTGATAATATAAATGTGTACTGCTAAAGTTGATCAAAGTGTGATTTTCTTTTCCTGCTTGAACATATGAATCATTTTAATATTAAACTATGTTAAGAACTAGTGAGAGGAAATCTCTTTCGAAACTCCATAAATAGCAGCTGAATAATGTGCTTTAAAAAAATTTTTATAGGAGCCAGCCCCGTGGCCAAGTGGTTAAGTTTGCGAGCTCTGCCTCAGCAGCCCAGGGTTTCGCCAGTTCGAATCCTGGGCGCGTACATGGCACCACTCATCAGGGCATGCTGAGGCGGCATCCCACATGCCACAACTAGAAGGACCCACAACTACAAATAGACAACTACGTACCTGGGGGGCTTTGGGAGAAAAAGGAAAATTAAAATCTTTAACAAAAAATTTATATTTCTGTAATTTGAAGAAAGATCCATGATACAATTAAATTTTTTCCAGTTTAGCAACAGTTGAGCAGCTGCCTTATATTAAAAAGATGCTAACTTGTAAGTTTCGTCTTTTTTCTCTCTTCTCAGGAAGTTAGAAGATTGTTACAGTGTATATCTTTAGTCTTTTTTGTTTTTTCCAGTGTACATATTAATAAAATCTTGACTTGTTGGTTAAAAGACTTAAGTTGATGGTATATGTTTGTGTTTATTTTTTAAAATATCAAATCCAAATCAACTAAACCAATCACTAGTAATTAGAGCTAGGGGAAAAGACAGCGAAAAAAGTGAAGAAGGCCCAGGATTGAACTCTAGGATACCTATTTTTAAGAAAACGCACCTCAACCATATGCATGTTCTAGGTTGAGAGCTAATAAAAGGAAAATCCACTTTGGAATTCCATGTGTAAAAATGACCCAAATGGAAGTAAAGCCGAGGTGATTAGCACTGATAGCCAAAGAGAATGTGTAAGTGAAAAGAATTAATTGAAAATCCTAAGATAATTTTAACCTCAGAGTAAATTTTTCAGGCAATTATTTAGAATACAGAAATCAATAATTAAAATTTTATTTCCAGATAATGTCAATATGGTATGTTGTACTTATCTCAGAATTTCAATTTATGTCCATTTTCTTTTCTTGTATTTTCCACTCTAAAAACCTATAATTTAGGGTGAAAAAGATGACAGTCGATATTTTGGTTTGACTTCTGACAACCTATTAGTTGATTATGTACTGGGAACAATTTTTAGCCTGTTGTATTGATATAATCTGGGTGGCTAGCCAGGAACGATTGAGCACCACCTGTGTGCGCAGCCTCGTGTCCATCACCATTATCCTGTAGAAATTACATCTTTTATTCTACTTCTAGCTGTTAGCATTTTTATCCTGCCCCATTTGTCTTAACCAATTCAAATTGACTGTACCTAATTATTGTAATATTTTATTTCATATGGATAGGGAGATTTTGTCTGCTTGGGCTCTCTTTCCTATATGGCCAGAATACTTAGGAATAGTTATCAAGGTGCATCGCCTAACACATAAGAGATACTACCTAAGAGATAAGAGATATCCAATTTTTAACTAGATAGTTCATTTCTTCTAAATTCATAAAGTATCTGACCTGTGAAGTACAATGTCATAGTCCCCTAGTGTGCAGATCAGTTATGGCATAAAAGAATCTAAGCATAATAGACATTCTCTGAATAATTTCTATCTCCAGGCTCATTATTTTCATTTTCTATATTTCTTTGTATCTTCTGTAATAACTTAAATGTCATTTTTAAAAATTAGATCACAAGTTTTACATTATTTATGTTATCTTAGTATACAGTTCTGAATCAGTTTTGTTCCATTTAGAGAAAAGTCAGCATATGTGCCTTTTTTTAATTACATTTTTTAAATGGTAAATCTTTGGAAAAAGAAAAAAGCCAATACAGTCTAATTTAAAATAATAGCTTTAGAAAGACTAGAGGTAACTAAGTTTTAAAAATCTTTTCAGGTATTTGATATTCGATGTTAAAAATCTCCCCCACGCAAATTTAGCAAGGATAAATTCACTTTAGTGTAAATCATCTCTGACTTTTACCTTTCAAGGGAAAGAAGCTCCATAGCGTATCTTCATAAACTTTCCCAGTGTCTAATATTGCTACCAATCTAGAAGCCGTAAGTTGTATCTAACCTAAACATATGGATAATCCCATAACTTTGCTCCAAGGAAAATAGTCACATTTCTTTCCATTTTTTCCTCACTGATCCTATTCCAAACTATTTATATATAGTGTATATGTATGGATTATGTGTTTTCCACACATCACTGAAACTGACAGCAATACCACACTTAGGATCCTGTAGTAGCATTGTTATACATTGAAATGTGGAATGTTGCCTAGTTCCTGAGAGGCCTCCCGACGTGGCATGATCTTGACAATTCCATGCAGGTTCAGACACTCAGCTTGGTCTTGTCAGAGCCTGGAAGTGATCGGTCTCAAGAAAGCTGATGCTCATCAAAAAGACTTAGCTATAGCAGCTGGAATGGTGAGCAATAAAACTGTCCAGTGGCCCAGACACATGCTGTTAAGCAGCACATGCCTCCGGTGGGGAGATGGACACAGGATGCCAGATTCTAATCTAAAATTGCTTGATGAGATGGAATGATAATGGTAATAAAATCTGTGGCAGCCACTCATAGATTTATCTGGTCCTCACAACAATCGTGTCACCGTGGTGCTGCAATTATCCCCATTTACCACTGAGGAGATTGAGGCGTGGTAAATTTCTGCACCTTACCCAAAGACAGCTAGTAAGAGGCAGGGCTACAAGCTGAAGAAATTGCAAGGCATGCAGTCTGGCTCCAAGAGCTCTTAACTGAAACTCAGGTCCTCTTGGATACAGTTAGTCACATGGTTCAGATCTTTGATAGCATAAGACTATAATTTCCTGGTGCAGCCATTTCCACAAACCAGCCTCATGTTTGTCTCATGATGAATTAGGCCTCCTGGCGGGATGCCATGTTGTTTATTTCAAATGACTAGCTCTGTGGTCCTTCAACTGTGGATTTTGTGGTTTTGCTGTCAAAGGGCAATCTTATTTGCTTTATTTCCAAATTTCTAGCGGTGGGGACACTCATCATTCTTTATCCTCCAGGGCTTCATACACTGTATATTTTATGTTTTCTTTCTCCCCTTTCTATTTATACATCCTGGTGTTGTGCTTGAATTTTCGTACTACAACATTGGGAGTTTGTGCAGATTTGTCCTCTGTGACCCTTTGTGTTTTTTTCGTAGAGTCAAAGGTAATTTTATGTTTTTCCTAGATTGAATCCCAGAAATAACATGTGCCAAGTTTTCACCTAACTTACTATGATTTTCTTCTCTGATTTCAGAGTGGACAAGATTACATCTGAAAATGCACCAACTAAAGAAATCAATAACTTTCCCAACCATAGAGTGCTAATTAAACCAGAGGTCCAAAATAACCAGAAAAACAAGGAAATAAGCAAAACGGAAGAAAAAAAGGCATTAGAAGCTGAAAAATACGGATTTCAGAAGGATGGTCAAGATAGACCTTTAACAAAAATTAACAGCGTAAAGTTGAATTCTCTGCCATCTGAATATGAGAGCAGGTCAACATGCCCAGTTCAGGCTGGACACTACAGGCCAGTCAATGTGAATAGTTCAGAGAGCAAAACAGTCAATGTTAGCCTGGCAGATCTTAGAGGTGGAAACCACCCAAATGCAGGGCCCTTACACACAGAGGTTGATCGAGTCATACAGAGAACGAATTCAATGCAACAGTTGGAACAGTGGATTAAAATCCAGAAGGGGAGGGGTCACGAAGAAGAAGCCAGGGGGTGAGTGTCTTGTCATTATGTGTTATGAACCCGGGTTTCTTTCATGCTGTGTTGGTGGAGATTGGTTTCTGAGATACTGATTAAAAGTATTAGTTTAAATTGTGTTTTAGATGTTAACAGCTTCATTGCTATATCTTTTCTTCATAGTAATCAGATGTATTTTCTCTCTGTCTCCCATTGTTCTATCACCCAACTTTGTTAATGGCGAGGAGTCATCCTCCCTGGCCTTGCACAAGGGAAGGCTTAGGCTGTGGGTAGAGACCACGTTTGTTTGGGATGAGGAAGAGAGCAAGACCTAGTCCCACTCTTTCTCCCCCCCACCCCACCCCCAATGAAAACTTGTCTTCACTCTCCCCACCACCCTGCTCTGACTGTCTTCCATTAGTAGCTTCTGCAGCTTGGTGCAATGCAAGGATCTCCTGAGACGAGTAATGTGAAGACAGTAAAGGCTTATGCTCTCTCATTCTCAGTCTCATTCCTTGGCTTTCTTAAACTCGTAATGCACATGAATTATATTTATTCATCCAAGCATTTATTCATTCATACACACACTTGTTCTTTCATGTATTTATTGTATAACTACTATGTGCTAAACATGGGACCAGAAAGTAAAATAGTGAAAAGATTTAGTCCAGATTTCTCTCACAGAGATTCTTACCTAGTTAGTAGAGGAGAGAGTAAAAGAAGCAGATGCAGTGTATTGTGACAAATGCAGTGAAGGAAGAACAGAATGCTGTAAGAATGTGTTTCAGAGACAACCAACACAATCTCAGGATTCTGGGAAACCTTTCTGGAGGAGATGAAATACAAGTTGAGATAGAAAGGATAGTATACTTATCTTGGTTTAGATATGCAAAATTCCAGAGTTGACAGGGAACAGGGAAAGGAATCCACAGACATCCATTATGGCTTAGGTATAACTAACTGCTGTGATGATAGATGAGAAATAAGGCTGGAGAGAAAAAAGCCAGAAGAGAGTGGTGTTTCAGAAAGATCACTCCAGCTGCAGAATCTGGAGAATGAATTGGAGAAAGTTCAAAAAAAATGGAGTAAGTGGAACGAGGAGAGGAAGAGGATGTATTCAAGAAGTAACTGACAAGACTAGTTGAGTGGTCGGATGTGCTTGATTGCAAAGTAGTCTCACTCAAGTCTAGTTTGAGTGGCTGGGGGAAATCAAGAATGACACCCTGCTTTTTGGCGTGGTTATCAAGGGTTGTCTGGTGCCTTTCACTGCATAGAAAAGATTTGGGAAGAGAGAAGGTAATGAGTGATTGGATGGGTTAAATTTGAGGCGCCTGTTGTCTGTATCTCTGAAGAGAGATCTGGACTTGAATAAGGTTTGGGGCATCATCGTTGTAGCAGAAGTCCTTAAAGGTAAGAATGAGAGTAGATAAATTAATTCAGCAGGTGGCTGGATGAAATAAGATTCGAAGGGAGAAGCTGAAAGAACATTTACAGTTAAGGAAAAAAAGGATGAAGGGGCCTACAAAGGAGACCAAAAATAAAGGCCAGAGGAAATGGAAGAAACTAGGAGCCTGTGGATGAGAAATTGTTCTCTCATTAGGTGGGAATTTGGTGATGCAAAACTTTGAAAGTACTTTAATGTACGAGTGTGCATAAAAATTAACCGAAGAGTTATTGTAACACTTACCTCTCAGTAGTAGAAAACAATGACGTTACTATTAAGATTAAATGAAGATTAACTATTTTAATAGTGAAACTTCTGAGGTACAGGAATGTCCTTCCAGTTTTCTCAGCGGTCATGGCTGACGTCTGCGGTTGTCAGGCAGTCTCTTTTCTCTCAGCAGTGCAGCTCAGAGTCCTGGGTCCGCTTGGCTTTATCTTTTGTTATCTCAGCCAGGCTGCAGAAACATTCTGTGATATGTTGTTCACTTCCATTTTCTTCTTCCCCACCCTCACGCCTCACTTTCCTAATTTTCCCAAGGGAGAGTTGGGAGAAACATTTTCTGTTTCAAAAATGAAATTTGATTAGACAGAAGAGAGGCCAGAGATAGTTCTGGAAAAAAACAAATGAAAGGATGTTTAGAAGTACTTATTAAGGTAATCATTTTCAGGGAAACGATAATAAAAATCCCAGCTAGAAGATTCCCTGAATCTCTACCCAGCAAATTAAATCTCACTTCTTAGTGGAATCGCTTTTCCTGAAGTAAATCATATTTTCTTAAGGTTGAAAGTGTGTAGTCAGAGGGGTTCAACAAATATCTGGAAGTTTGTTTTTTAAGTTTTGGGGCTTACATATGTGTCTAAGCACTTTTAGGTCCCTTGATGGGGATATTTAACATACATAAAGGCTGTCACTGACCTTTTCTTTTGAATGCAGCCCTGCAGCTTCCGCAGGCTGATCTTCGGTTATTTTGAGCTAAGATTTTCTCCACATTGCTCCTTCGGGTTCACGGCTACAGTCCCATTTGGATCACTGAGCTATATTAGCTACATTATTATATAAATTTCATACTTAAAAAATAGTGATGTTGTGTAATAAAATCATTTTTATTGGTGGAAAGAAGCGTAATGGTAGTTCGTGGAATAATTGATTTTGCAACACTTATGAGAGGGTTGCTTTTATTATTAAAGTTCTGATGGAAAGAAAAGAAGTTTAATATTTGGTCAGATAGGAGTTCCCTGCACCTGCGGACAGAGCCTTTCAGTTCCTTTGTGAGGTGGCAGGCCCTGCTGAGATGTCTGGTGCCTTAGGCCATTATTCTGCATGGCATAATCACAGAGACAGGGTTTTCATGGTGTGTGACAGGCAGCTGCTGGTGAACGGAGCCCTAAACCTGCTGAAGGAGCTCACAGTGTTCATTTCTTAAGCTTTCACTTAAAAGGAAGTCACACTTTGCTTAATTTGAATTTCTTTGGCGAAAACCACTGAAAGAAACCATAGCTTTTGAAAAACAGGTATCAAAATGCAGGAGAATATATGGGATAAAAATAAACTTACTTGATAATAACCTGATTTTTTATTAAAGTTCCCCAAAAGTGGTTCCAAAGGTGGCAGAAGAGCCTTTTAAATTTTGTAGTCATTAGTTAGCCAAGCTTAGTAGGAAAATAGCCTGCAGCTGCTAATGATCATATGATAGGTGGACAGTTCAAGTTCAGTATACATCTCTACACCAGGAACCAGCTCACATGGTATGAATGCTTCAGAGCTCTGATAGAGGTATTTGGTATAATTAGATTTTCTTAAATGGAATTTAAACATTTGTTTATAGGCAGTTTTTAGTGTGTTTTAGATTGACAATGTACGTCCCCTTCTTTATATGATTATTAATGATCTTTTCACTGATTTCCAAACAATATATAAAGTTATCATCATTTATATTGTCCGTGTATGCTTCAGGGATACAGTTCAGTGCCTAATCCAGAGCCTTTTGCTTATTAAGGTCACTCTAATATTTCTTGAATTTATGAATGACCAAATAAACCATGGTATGTTGGGGTAAATTGCTTTAGTGCTAGAGCAGAATTTCTTGGATGGAATCAACTTCCCCTGCTGACGCACTTTCTGAGCAGATAGCCATGGGGTGGCCAACTCTAGACTTTGTCCACTTTCTTGCTTTCGTGTTAACAGGGAAGGTGAGGATAGGAAGGGAGACTAGGCAGGGAAAAAAAATAGGAAATATACCTGGAGAAAGCAGCAAAGAATTGAACTCTTTATACTGATTTCATCAGAGTATTGGGTACTTTTCTCCCTCACTCCAGTCCTAGGGTCATCAGATGGTTGGGCTTCCTGCAGTGGTTCTTGGGTTGGGAGGTTTTGTTTAGTTTTGAACAGGGCTGTTTTAATCAGGCTTGAAAAGCTGACGAACAACCAGCATGATGAAGGAAATTTAGCTTAGGGGGAATGGTTGAAGGAATTGGAAATATTTCAAGTACAAAATAAGACATGGGATTTTAGAACTTTAAAATAACTTTATGATCAAATCATCTTCTAGATGAGAAAACCAAATCCCAGAAGGTTTCGGCCAGATTTTGATAGCATATGAAGAACCCTAGCACTTTAAGATTATGCCCTTCCTAATTTGGAGGGTATCTTTTTATTTTTAGTTAAATCATTGTGATAAAAAAAGTAAAGTAGGTTTTTAAAAAATAATTTCCATACTTTTGGCAAAGTTTTTAAAATACAAGGATTAGTTTACTTTTTCAGTAAGTACAAAAGTTTGGGAATCATTGGCATAATGAAAAGGAATTGAGACCTGCATTCTAGTTCTAGCTGGCTCACTAACTCTTTCTTAACCAAAATATTAAAAGGAATATGATGTCTTGGTCTTTTCCCCTCATGCTCTCCCACCCACCCCACAAAACACACACTTTATTGTTGTGTGAATCCCAAAAGATGTAAGTAACTCATCTAAGGTCTCCATACTTAGTAGGAAGGCAAGAATCAAAACTTAGCCTTCCTCGTTTTGATCAACTGCTTTTTTCCACTGTATTGCTCTGTTATTCAAAACTGGATCCCCTCTGTGGGTGTTTTAAGCCACAAAAAGGTGTATCTAACATGAGGTTCTCTCACTTGTATGAAGGTAACGTAATTTTACTGCCCTAGTAGGTACAAATTGTGCAGGGATTTTTGTTGTTACCATGGCTCATAGCCCAGGATGCACCCAATTTATTACGTCTGATCATAATGAAATCTCTTTTTTTTATAATACATTAGTATTTATGCATTGTTACTGAGAGCAGTCTTTGGGTCAAAAGAGAGCTCTGATATCCAGATTATCAGCCCGGGCTGCCCAGATTCTTAAGAGTATGGTCAAGTAACTTACAAATCGAGTCTTCTGGCCCATGTAATCACCAACATCTTTGACATTTTACCACCCATTAGGAAGCAGCAAAATATTATGCAATTATGCATGCACAATTCCCAAGTATACTCTATGGCGAAGATACAGTAACTAACCAGGAGAAAGGTACTAACTAAACATAGAAAGAAGAGATCAGGAAACCTGGGTTTATGGGGTCCCAGCTTTCCCACATGTTTGGTTCGTTGAATTAGATATGATATTAGGATGTAAATTTATGCCAAAGAAGATGGTGCATAAGATGAATACTTGTGATTTAATATTGTTCTTTTTAATCTAGATTTTATTGTGGTTACTATTGTTAAAAGGTTATGTTTGCATTTAGAATTTGAATTGTAATTATACCTTATACTTACCTCTGAAGGTAATAGGGAAAGACAAATGCTAACTTTATTTAGAGTTTTCAATTGACTTTTTAAAATCCTTTTTATATAATATGTGTGACCCAGCACGAAGTTAGCACAAGGACAGTTTTGATAAATTCAAAAAAGATATTTTTATCACTGTCTTTTTAAAAAATCATAAACTGAAATTTTATTCTTTCATTTTAGGAAACTGAAATAATCTATGCTTAGTAATATGTCATTACATATTCATATCTAAACATTTAGCATTTTAAAAGAACTTTATTTTAAATGCTTAATATACATAAGGAATTTTTTGCATTGCTTTAAAAAGCTCCCCACAAATGTTGATTACCATTCATGAAATATTAATTTCTATGTCAGAAACATTGTAAAATTCCTAAGATTTGCAGTTTTATATCTGAAATGTTGTCATGTTTAAGTATTTTGTCTGTAAATAATTGAATTTTGAGCTTTAGCTTCAAGTCATTTTTATTTTTCAAATTAAGGAAAGTTATCAAGGGAAATTATTTATTCCAACCAGAAATCTACTGATGTGCTTCTTCCCATAGTCATGCTGTCTGAGGGAGATGGCGCAGCAGAGTTGTCACATACACCTGCACTAGTTCATTTCCTGTCTTCATGCTCCATAGGCACAACCAAACACTTTCAATATCCCATGCATACACAGAAATCCTATGCAACTGTGCTGGTGAAATGTATGAAAATGACATTCTAGGAGTTTATTTATATAAAAACAAATAAGATATGGAGACAGGTTTGAGGTTAGATCTTGAACATTCTTATTTCTGAAAGAAGTTTAACATTTTTCCTTCTTTAAACCAAACTGCACATTGTGTGGAATTAATAGGCTTTATGTAAGTAACATGGATGCTGTTTACTTAATGTATTGAATCCATCAAATTTATAACTTGTATAATATTTTGATCTTTTGAAAAATAAGTCCTAATGTATATTTTACATGCCAGAAGAAAAGAAAATGTACTCTAGAATCTAGAAAACCACTCTCTCCTTTATTTTTACATTTCAATTATTCTTTTATTTTAGAGTAATTTCTTACCAAACACTACCAAGAAATATGCCAAGCCACAGAGCCCAGATCGTGGCCCGCTACCCTGAAGGTTATAGAACTCTCCCAAGAAACAGCAAGACCAGGCCTGAAAGTATCTGCAGCGTGACGCCCTCCACTCATGACAAAATAGCAGGACCTGGAATGGAAGAGAAGCGGAGATCAATGAGAGATGACACGATGTGGCAGCTTTACGAATGGCAGCAGCGTCAGTTTTATAATAAGCAGAGCACCCTCCCTCGTCATGGCACTTTGACCAGTCCTAAAACCATGGTTAATATTTCTGACCAGACCATGCACTCTATTCCCACATCACCTTCCCATGGGTCAATTGCTGCTTATCAGGGATACTCCCCTCAGCGAACCTACAGATCAGAAGTGTCTTCACCCATTCAGAGAGGAGATGTGACGATAGACCGCAGGCACAGGGCCCATCACCCTAAGGTAAAAGATCTGCTAATCCCGTGGGAACTTCTGCTGTGCGGATGCTGGGTTTTATTTCTAGCACTCTGTTCTTTAAATGTGAGCGACAAATAGGGAGGAGGTAAGCAAGGCAGCCCTTCTTTTTTGGTTTTAAGAATTAAGGAAGAGTAATCTGCAATGTCAAAATCTCCTGTATAAAACCTAAGCTTGCAACGCTTCATCTCTCAGGAGCACGGAAAGAGTTCTTTGGAGCAGATGCATTATGCATTCTTCTCTGCTTGATAGCAGATCTCATCAACTTTGCATGTAGGTTAAGACCGCATGCATTTTTATTGGCTCTTGACACACTTGCCAATTCTACACCTGCCCTCTTCCAGCGTACCTGCACTCTTGTGTCAGGCTCATCCTGTTCTTTGCTAAGATCAAAGTGCAGCTTCATCTTCTAACCAGCTGAATATATGGCATATTGAAATACCTGCTTAGATACCCACTTTAATATTAGAGTAACAATGCTTATTAGTATTTATATGTTTTAAAAATTAAGATACAGACTGAGATCATATTTTAATTTGTATTGTGAGTTGGCTTACGCCTTGCTTAGTCGATTATTTGAAGTGAATTCGGAGTGCTTTGTATCGATCAGCTTTTCATGATGCTAAAGCAGTTGTTTTGATCAATCAGCCTATATGCAGCCAGTTCTGTAATGTCTGTCCTAAAGTGAAAGGGAATTTTTCTCTCATTTTCTTTGTAATGCTAAAGTATTTCTTGCTTTTTACCATTTTAAAATGCATCTTTTCTTATCCTTGTGACAGGCTGAATCCTTCAGTGACATCACTGCATAAAGCATTTCCTTGATTTTTCCATAAATAAATGTTAGTTAGAAATTAATCAATCAATCAAGAATTTTCCTTTGGAGGAAGCTTTAGTTTGCCTCACCAAAAGAAGGCTCACTTTGAACTCCACTGTAACAAAGTTCGATATTTTGTCACTTGGTACATCCAAAGGCTAAATCGTGTTTGATAAAAATGATCACAATATTCAAGAAAAAACTGGTCTAATACAATTTAGTGTGTGGCTGAAAAGCATTCTCATGGTTGTTAGTAGTTTTCATATTCTTGCCCAAGATTTATCATCTGTTTCAACAACAAATATGAGGTGAAGGTGTGCTGTCTATCCAGTTGCCAGTCAGCTAAACGTCTCCTCCTCTTCCTCCGCTCAAAAAACTGCTCCAGCGTTGCCAGATTTTTCTTTCAAACTATCCTGTCAGCTTCCTTGATATGATCAGTGGTTCTCAAAGTATGATCCACAGACCCCTGAGTCCCCATGACCCTCTCAGGGAGTCTGTAAGTAAATTCAACATGTTTTGTAATAACAATAAAGCATTATTCACTGTGTTACCATTTTCTAATAGGGGATAAGCAATGGTGGGTAAAAGTACTTGCACCTTAGCATAAAGCAAGGGAGTGGCTCCAGACTGTACTAGTGGTCATTGTATGCTTCACTGACACATACTTGAGATAAAAATAAATAAAGTAGCAATTTCACTTAAGAATCCCTTTGATGAAACAGTAAAAGATAATTTTATTCAATCTCCACCTTTTATTACATATCATTTTAATAGTCTGTGTGATGAAGTGAGAAATGTGTTTAAAGCATTTCTGTTGCATACCAAAGTCCTAAAGATTGTCTCACAGGAAAACACTTGGGTGATTCTTTGAGTTGCAAGCTGGACTAGCTCCTTTTTTCATGAAACATCATTTTTACTTGAAAGGACGAATGACAGGCTAACTGTAGTTGTTCATACTTGGTATTTGACAGACACTTCTCAGAGTGAAATGTTAACCTGTCACTTCAAGGGAAACAACTGACAGTGTTGCTGATGACAACATCTGAGCTTTCAAACAAAAATTAGAATTTGAAAATCTTGTACCTGCCGCCATGAGATTGACAGTTTTCTAGTGCTTAAAAATCAGCGGTGGTATTAACAAATGTGAGTTACTGCTATTTGTATACTAGTGTGTGTCCACATTTGGAAGTCTGCATAAGTCACCAAACCAGTATTTTCCACATGAGCAGTGTTTGCTATTACCAGATCATGGATGGGTAAAAGATTCATTCAAAGTGCAAATAGACCAATGGGTCTTAATGTAACAAAGTATGAGAAGTTCATTGATAGGGTTTCAGATATTGCTTTGCAACTAACCTTTAAGAAAATACCACTTTTCCAGCTTTATTGCAATCTCAAAGATGCATAGCTAAACTTATCCAGAAAAGTTATTTAAGTTCTCTTCCCTTTTCCAAGGGTAGATTTTCTTCATGTATTTCCACTTAAAGAGATTATCACAACATATTGAATACAGAAGCAAATATGAAAATCTAGGCAGACATTAAAGAGATTTGCAAAACTGTAAAACAATGCCACTGTTGTCACTAAATTTTTTTTTTAAGAATGTAAAGGGGTCTTGGGGCCGGCCCAATGGCATAGTGGTTAAGTTTGCCACCTCTGCTTCGGTGGCCCAGGGTTCACAGGTTCAGATCCCGGGCACAGACCTGCACACCGCTCATTATGCCATGTTGTGACAGCGTCCCACATACAAAATAGAGAAAGATTTACACAGATGTTAACTCAGCAGCAGTCTTTGTCCAGCAAAAAGAGGAAGATTGGCAACAGATAGGAGCTCAGGGCCAATCTTCCTCACCAAAATAAAAAAGAAGAAGAATATAAAGGGGTCCTGAGACCAGTAAGTTTGAGAACCACTGAGCCGGATTATATAGAATTACTCTGTTCTTGAGCATCTGTATTTTAGTCAAGAAATTTTAGTTCTGTCTTCTTTCGTAAGCATTTTGTAAGTGGCATTTTATAATATAAATTTAAGACTTCTCATCGCTGACGTTGACCACGGAGTTTATACTGTGCCTTTATTTCTTAGCATGTCTATGTGCCTGACAGGAGGTCAATGCCAGCTGGCCTGACTTCACAGTCTGTTAGTCCCCAGAGCCTCCAAGGCAAAACGGTGAGTATGATATCTTTATTTACCATATCAGGTTTTATTTACGTGCTACACATGATCGCATGCATCTGACATAGCTTCTAAGTTTGAATTTTCAGAGACGTGCCTCCCAAGAAAAACCATTACTACTTTTGTGGAAGAGATGCTCATCAGAAGAATTTGGAATCCTGTAGCCATTGCAGTATCTTACTGGATACCTCTCCCTAAATGTCTGACTCCCTAAATATAAGATTATATTTTCAAGGTTTATTGCATGACCTGGGTGGTTTTCTTTACTTTGTTAGTAGTTAATTCCCTCATCCTTAAAACAGAAGTTGGAATAGTTTATTAGAGGAATAAATCCAGCAAGCAGCCATGTGTAGTCAAACTACAGGCCTATTAAGAAGTTTCTCCTGTGGATTTTTGTATAGATTAACTACTTAGAGCGAGGAAAGAAACTGATTTACATATTTATGCAGAGAAAGAGAGACTATAAAAACACTAGGTTCAAGCAAGTACTTAACATTTTCATTTCATTATCAGTGTTATGTTCAAATTGGGAAGGAGTTATATTACCAGGACACTATTATTCTTCAAATTAAAGAGAAAAGAGGGCTTTTCGTCACTTCATTCTATTTTAATGGCATTCTTTTTTCGAGAACTATGCTTTAATATCAGGAGGTAGTCTCAATTTCTGTGAAGATGTGATTTGAGGACCTATATAGTTGTTTATTATTTAAAATTCTCTTCCTGGTGCCAGCCTGGTGGCTCAGCAGTTAAGTTCGCACGTTCCACTTCAGCGGCCTGGTGTTCACCGGTTCAGATCCCGGGTGCAGATCTACACACTGCTTGTCAAGCCATGCTGTGGCAGGCATCCCACATATAAAGTAGAGGAAGATGGGCACAGATGTTAGCTCAGGGCCAGCCTTCCTCAGCATAAAGAGGACAGTTAGCAGCAGATGTTAGCTTGGGCTAATCTTCCTCAAAAAAATAAAAACTAAATAGAGTAACATAAAATTCTCTTCCTGCAGTAGTCAAAACAAATTCATCTTGTATGCATTTTGCAAACATTCTTTTTATCTTTCATCTTTTACATGCTTATATCTAAGGAAGATTTCCTGGCTTAAAACTACTTGTGGTTTATTTATTAAGGGTTATATATATATTGCTTGACTAAAACTAAAAACTTTCAAATGTTGCAAATTTTAAATATTATACTGTTGATCTGACAAAAAGACGTTAATAACAAGATAATGCTACATATTACGTAATGAAATTTTCTCTTCTGCATTGCTCCCTCTAGTGGATACTTAGGATAAAACTTGTTTACCACCTCCTACTTCTCTAGGGGTCATATGTGCCGCTTTTTTATTTTGCTTCAAAATTTAAATATCTAGCAAACTTATTGGAATCTTTCATCCTTTTAAAAATCTCTTTATCTTTTTAACTGCATAAATAATAAAGCAGAATTTCAAGATTTCTTCTTTTGGTATTTCTGTCAAATATCCCTCTGGTTCTTAGAATATCTCAATCCCTTACCCCACACTGCCTTCTCCCTGGCAAGACCTCAGAGCTTGACACGATGATCATAAGACATGGACCATCCCACAGTCATGAGGTCACAGGGTGTGTGGCTGGCCTCAAAGCAAAAGCAGCTATTTTCCTGTTATGGAGTCTCTTCTTTAAGTGACACACAGACACACACACACATTCTTTGACTGTTTAGCATAAAAGACTGTTGTCTCATCTATATAGATGCTCTGTTTTATCTAAAGAATCCAGTAGTGACTGTGATTTACTTCTGACACTTCTCTCACCTGAAGGCAAAAATTTTTAATGTAACTTCAAATAGTTAAACATTATTTCTGTCCCTAAAAAAAAAAGTATGCAAAATAATGAGCAACAGCAAATGAACAGAAGAGAAGTCATGTGATGCTGCGGTGTAGAGAAAATAAAGCCGCCTCAGGAGCACTTTCTGGCGGGGAAGTTTTTTTTAAGGGCGTGCTGTCGCCCTCACGTGAGCAGTGCCTCCCTCGGGCCCGTCTGCAATTTTTAATCATAACGAAGTGCAGAGAAGCACCAAATATAATATTTTATGGCCTGTAAGACTGCCAGTGACCATACTTTACTGCATTTCTAACAAAGAAAAATATATCAGATTGGCCTGTTAAGGAATTCTGTCTTCGAAAATTTATTTTCAAATAAATTTGGGGATCACTGTAACCACTCAGGAACCAGAAGCTTCTCTGCTTTCCTCAGAGTGTGGAAGGAGGGTTTATGCACCATGGAAACTTGCTGTGTATATGAAATAGATTTTTTTTCTTAAAAAAATTTTTCTGAAAAAATTGATCTTCTGGTCATTTAATATACCCTGTGAAAGCGCTAACAGTGACGTTTAAAATATAACCGGGAAGCAATTAATAGATTCCAGGTACCGAGTTCAAAGATGTGAACATATCATCCAAGTTTTACATGAATTTTAATTCTTTTTATTTACCTTCTGTTCTCTAAAATAGAATGTTGGACGTGCAGGTATTGTTCTATTGCTGTAAAAGTCTTAGGTGTCATTTTTAAACATCTTATTAAAATATCTTTTAATAGTAATCTTTTAATAGCTTTTATGTGCAAACCTTTATAATGGTTTTTTGGCACTGTGTTTTTTTATGCTTAACATTTAAATATTCTCTCATGAGTTCTGAGAAAATGCCTTGATATACTGTTGTTTTGCTGTATCTTTTAAAGTAACCCTGTTCCTTCTATTTCTCTAGATATCTATGCATTTATGTAGGACCTATCATCATAGTGTCTAGGCACTATGTTTGATGTCAACCATAAGAGGAAACTTGCCAAGAAATCTTGGTTTAATATCTGTCACTTAAGACAACAATTAATCTGTTTTCCACTGTTTGGATTCTTAAATTGTACTCCTTCAGCCAGAGGAGCTTACGCTGCTGCTAATAAAGCTGAGACGGCAGCAAGCTGAACTGAGTAGTATCCGGGAGCACACGTTAGCACAGCTCATGCAGCTCAAACTTGAGGCCCACAGCCCAAAGGTCAGCTATGAAGAGATTTGTCTGTGTCGTCTGCCATTGTCACTTATTTTGAGTCATTCATTAATCAGTTGGATCAGTGTCGTTAGTGTTGAGCATGAGTCCATCCTATCATTGCGGCCATTACACCAGGATCTCATATTGACCCTTTGAGAATTAACTTCTTTCTACATTGTTAAAGGAAAATACAGGCAGGATGCATTTCTTCTTAGCCTTCCACCCACTCACTCACCCACCCCCTTTTGGTTGCGAGGAAGGAAATGCATACAGACTTTCATGTTGTCGTTCACTGAATACTGTAACTTCCACATCTGGTAAAGCAGATATTGAAAAGTCCTATCATTTCCCATAAAGTAGTAAGTTGAAAATTGATTATAGTTTTAATGATCCTGCCTTTTAAATGTCCAAGATTAATTTTAAGATGTTTCTTTTGTTCTTGATTAAAAGAATAAACGCAGGTAGACATTTCTCAAAGGGTTTAATAGCATCTGGTTATATGGGAAACATCCAGGACTATATTGCAGAAAAGAATGAACATGTAAAGCTTTAAAGACATTTGAAGGATTGTTCTGCTTAATATTTCAGCTTATATGCATGTCTACTTTATTTCTCAAATTGAGTGTAATTTTATAATAATTCAATATGTCGTCTGTCCCATTTACAGGGGAGCATGTGTGTGAAAGTTTTGTGCTGTGATTTTATAGGTTGTGGTAAAGTACCTGTTTTTCTTACTTCGAAATTGACCTTTTCCTGAATTCTGCACCCTCTTTCTCTATCCCTTTGTTTCTTGATTGATGCCTACTAGAATGAAATTCTTTCACATCATCTTCAAAGGAACACCATATATTTGGATCATCAGGTGGGATTTGTAGAATTTTCTTACTTATAATACCTAATACAAGTTTTTAAGTGTAGTACAGTTTTTCAGACTACTTAGAGATTTCAGTCATTTTGAGTTAAGAGCATGACTTTTACAAGTGGCAGAATAAGAAATCCCTAACCAGGTGAATTCAGGAATACCATAATAAACAGGTAGAAAGGACAGTTGTGGAGGTAAAGAGGGATCCAAGTGCTGGGTCATCTGCAATTGAGAGCCTGGATTCTCTAGATCAGTTTCTTCTTATCCCAAGAAAACTCACACTCCTCGAGGCTTATCCCAGCTTGGAGTTGACCTAATTAAAGAAATAGACACCAAGCTGTGAATGCCTTGTTGGAAGGATGGAAGGAGGGTGAGCAGTAGTGTGCTCTTTAGCCCCAAAGGGGAGTTTAACGGCGTGAAATTTGCAATGAAGATAATTTTTAGTTGTGTGTCCTTATTCCTTGTCCTCCCCCTCCTCCCATGTTTGGTCTTTGGTCAACTATGTGGAGTCGGTTCTATACGACCTGCCGTTCTAGCATTATCTCAGTGGTGGCAATGAGTGTAGTTGGTTACAGTGAACGTTCAGAAGTGTGAGTGGCAGTTCATGAACAAGGACTGACGCGCCCATTGTTTAGTTTTTATAAAATTCACTATTCATGCTTAATTTTAATTTGATGAGAATTTTTGATATGTTCTTAAACGTAGAATTTCTTCCCCAGTGAATGCATTTTTTTTTAATATAAATTAAGCTAAAACTTGTTTTAGCTTGTTTCAAAATATTCAAACTTGAATATTTTACCCAATGGGAAGGTTACTCTGGAAAATGTTTTAAGACACATGTTTACATATTTATATTTGCCTGTTTGAGACAACATAATAATGTCCTGCTTTAAATTAGTTAGATTTAAAGAGGGATTTTGCATTAGGATAACCCTTTAAAAGATGTTTGATCATTTTTCTTTTAATTTTTAACAGAAATATACTTTTGTTAATATGTAATTTAGTTATTTTCCCACGAAATGTTTTCCTCATGACTTCGCATATTGGAATGCTTTAGAAATCGGCATTTCGTGAATCCAAATTTTCATCTTCACTCCAGACTGGTGCTGTTGAAATTTAACCACAGTCTACCTTGTACACATTGAAAGCAGTCTAATAAAGACGTGTTAGCCAATAAAATAGTAAAATTAGTCTTCCCTCAAAGTTCCATACTGCCAGAAAGCTTCTAAGATACATGGGAAAGAACTTTCTTAAAAGCTCCCTCATCTGTAAAGCTAGAGAGAGTTCTGAGAAAGAATGGAATATTACAAAAATTGTTTAGAAGACAGTAGATAAATGTGAATCTGAAGTTATCTGTCTCTGGAAATAAACCTAGTGTTTTCTGTAATTTATTATTCACCTCAATGAATCAAAAATTGGAATTGCGGAGACACAGAACTTTAGAAAATCTTAGGAAATACCACCATTTGCTAAGATGCTTCTCCTCAACTCCCTTTCCCAGGTCAAGCTCTGTTTCTTCCCTTGACTTAAGTGCCCCACATCGGTTGAGGTTTCTTCCCATCCCTTCTCTCTAAGCATCCTCTGCCGTTTCTTGTTAGTGAATGTATTTGCCGTCAGTGCTGTGAGTGGAGTCTGACTCCTAGTGGCCCAGTGAACAGAGCTGAGCCCTTCCTGGTCTTTCGGGCCATCCTCTCACCCAGACGAGACAACGCTCTGCTGCTGTTTGGAGCCTTTCGTATTGCACCAGGCTGGTGGTCCTACAGATGGCCTCTAAAAATCTCGACTTTTTATTGACCGTCCCTCTTCTCTCAACATGTCAGCAGAGGTTTTCCATTAATTGCCCTTTTTCTTATGTTAGATCCTGAAATAAAGTTCTGTTATTCCAATTTTTAAATTTTGTGATAATGAGAATTATAGAATTTGATTGATTGAATGCTAATATTCATTGAAATAAGACTGTTTCTGATGGTACACACATTGAGCCATTTTTAGATATTAATCAGATAAAATACAGCAACATGGGCGGCTTTGCCCAGAAACTCAAATACACCTGAATGTAAATATCCTTAAGGTTTCCTAAAGAAAATCTCTCTTTAAGTAAATCAAAAATTTTTATGGTTTCAGACAATTGCATCTAATATAAATGAAATATTTACTTTTGGACTGTCCTATATTTTATATCAGTAGTAAGGTTATTAAATAATATAAAAAGAATTCTTGCTAATTTTGAATTTCAGTGAAACTTTTCATCCAGCTCAAACATTTCCAGCTTTTAATCTTGTTACTGCCAGTAACCTATTTTAGATTACCAAGTCTGTTGTTTTTATAGGCATTATTGGTTGCCTGGATTTATAAATTGATTCATCAGTTTTATAACTACAAATTGGAAAATAGATTTTAAAATCTGAAAGTCAAAGGAAAAGGCTGTGGTCACATTTTACGCTATATTTCATACCAAATGAATATGTACTAATTGATAACTCACTTTCGGCATTTATTCCACTTGCTCAAATAAATCATCAGAATAACCTAAGGCCAGCAACAAAACGTAATCTTCCTCGTACCCCTTGTCAGGTTCCACAGTAGTCAAAAGAAAATTTTTACTTGATTTAAAATCTCTTAGTCCCTATCACTGTTCATGAGGAATAGGAACAAAGGGTTGTCTCTGAGTTGCTTCAGAGGTAAATTCATTTCTGATATTACTGGAATGCTTATAACAAAGAAAAAATGAAAATGGCTTATCTGAAATTCTGAAGATTTACTTATATACAGTCAATCCAAAAATCTTGACTTGGAGCAATATAATTTGGTTTCTAATTATCACCATATGAGCGCAAGTCATGTACTGAAGTGTTTTCTAAAATAGCAAAAACAAGGCTAATCATATGGTAGAATTTTCTTCTCTTTTTTATTTCATTTTGAAGTATGCTATTATTGTTGGTTTATGCTCTTATAGCCCAGTTAGTAGACGGCTCAAAGTCTACAGTTATTAAGACTAGACTAGGTTTATTTGTCGTTTTTGTGAATTTTAAGATAGAAAACCCCAAAGTATAACCTGTGAACAAAAACAATCCTAACTGGATAATTTATATACCTCATCCAGATTTTATTTAGCAAATGAATAAATATGTAACATCAGTAACTCATTTTCTTCTCATTCAGCTTAATTATCACTGAATATTAGAGAAACTTTTGATTATAGTTTAAGTGAAACTTGCAAATTTCATCCTAAAATATTTCTATGGAATGGGCTTAACACTTAGTAGCTTTTTCCTGGTTTGTTCCTCTGCCTAGCAGAATATAGAGGAGAGAGGGAGGAAAGCCATAAGTAGAATCTTGCAATGGCTCTGTACTTGCCAGGAAGTTGGAAGAAAATTCGAGATTATCAGCAATGGTAATGGCATCTCCTCCTCTGAAGAATGGAGTGTCTTACAGTTCTTTGAAAGTGAGGGAAAAGAGAATATCTTGATATATTTTCCTTTCTTCTCAGAACAGGCCAGATTGAGCATGAGTTTTAGAACTATGTGGCCCTCCTGGAAAAGTATTTGATGATTAGGAGTTCCTAATGTTTCTGTAGCGCCAAATGTAAATCATTTGTTTGAAACTGGAGTAACAAGTTTCCATAGTTTATTGTAGTCGACCATCTGAATAGTCAGCTGTAAGACACAGAAAGGGCATCCTGGTTGGTTTGGTTCCTATACCATTACTGGTGATTGTTTTTAATAGCACCCCTGGTGGTTAGAGTCCCAAATTAGGCCATAAAAGACTGTATTTAGCCCAGTAATATACCTAAAAACTGGACTAACAGTATCATACACCCTCACTGTATTAGGGAAAACATCTCTCGCAGAAAATGTGTTCAGAGCGCCAACCCAGCATCTTAGGAACATACGTATCTTCTTCAGCAGATCTAACACTGGGAGTAGGGACTTCGAGTTTCTTAATCTTGTCACTTATAAGGACATCCCTTGGTGTCTAGTTCTTGGCTCCTGTTGCCTAAAGCAGGACTGGTTGGATCAAGCAAAGGAATGAAGTTGAGATTTTAGAAACTAGACCAGGAGCTAAAGAGAGAAACTAGGTGAGGCCTCTCCCTGGATGAAGAGATGGAACAAAAGTTGGAGCCTTTTTTGATCAGTCATGAAGGGAGGATTAATAAGAGTGAGGAAATTAGAACATATTCCCATCCCTTCGTCTGTTTTCCCCACCCCACTTTAGCTCTTGCCTCCATTTGTGTCTTTCTGCCTCACTTGCTCTTTCTTTCTAATGCTCCCTATTAGTGATTGAAGAACACTTATGAGGGAATTTAGATGACGTTCCCTTTGCCTTCTTTCTAAAACCTTCCTGCCAGCTTTCCCTGTAGGCAGTGATAAAAGGAAAAGAGATGCTAGGAAGTGAAGCTAAGAGCTGTGTAGGTAGGGACCGATGGTTGTGAGCATGCTGCCCCCTTGTGGATAAACTAAACATAGACCAACCCTCTTTTCTAACTGCCCCCAGATGATACCACTCCAGTAACCGGCCTCCCCCTTTGAGAATACCCGCTACAGTAAATGGAGTTTGACTTCTACAGATCTGAGCTTTACTTGCACTAGTACTGCAGGAGGTATTTTTTTCATCTTTTAAATACAGAGTGGCATTGTAACATGAATGTGCTTTCACAATTCATCCCTAAAATTATGACATTCTGCCTTTACCACTCTCCCTTCAAGAGTCGCTATAGTTAATGGCATCAAAAATGTCTGCATGAGAACGAGAAAGGAAGGGACGTAACCTCAGTCAGCCACACTTACATTGGGATTGTCTGTTCCCAATGTACTCAAAAGTTCTTTGTGAAAAGAATATGCCTCTGCTATGATAATTTAATAAAATTCATTCGTCTCTGCCCAGATGGAGCTATCTCCCCCCAGCTAGAACATACTTAAGTCATTTCTGAATATAGCATCAAATAGTATGTTCTTTAACACCAGATGGCTAAAGGATCATATCCTCAAATCTCATGGAGA